ACCCACTGGTCGGTCTGGAGCGGGGTGGGCTGGGGCTGTCCAGCCACTGGTTGCTATGGCTATGAGGAACCCTTGGCCAGCTACCTGGTTCCTCTGCTTTGCTGACCCTTCCTCCATCCTTCCAGATGAATGTGTCCTGCCTTCAGTCCACCCACACCCCTCCCTCTACCTTGCCTGGCCAGCTTAACGACTCCGACTCGGCTTGCTAGCTTGGCAAAGATTTGTACTTGGAGCTGAGGGTGGGGCTGGGAGTAGAGAGAACCTTCTACACGCCTAGGGTCCACTATCACCACGCTGTGCTTGGGAATCTCCATCTCACCCCCACCTCAGATCCACCTGGGCACCTGGGGCCATGGCTTCTCAAGTTTTCTGGCCGAAGTGGTGTCTTCTCTGTCTCTCTCTCTGTCTCTCTCTCTCTCACACACACACACACACAGGCACACGTTCAGGAGGGCCTCTAGCGGCCCCAGCCACTGTTTGTCTCGCAGTTATCTGGAACAGCTGCTGGGGCCACTGCGGGGGAGCGGCTCCAGTCCTCTGCACGCTGTGCTTGTTGGATGGGGACCTGTCGTGTGTCAGCATCTGTGTTTTGCTTTGTTTCTCATTTCACGGTGATTTCTTTTGTTTGGCCGTCATGCCATTAACATGGATTCTTGTGTGCGGCCTCTCATCTTTCTCTTTTCTCTCCCTCCCTCTCTCTCCCCTGCACTCTATGTTGCCTGTGGCCGCCCAGGGAGTAAAGGGCCAACCTGGGGAGAAGGTGAGTTCACACTTTCCCTTCCGCCCTCCCCCCAGCCTCCTCTTCCTCTGGTGGATGGACTACTAGCACTCTCGGAGACCCCCACCCCAGCCCTCCCCGCACACAGGCCCCAGCAGAACAGAGCGTGCTGGCATGGCCTGGTCTGCTCTTGCAGCCTCTGGTGGCCCAGTTTCCTAACTGCTTCCACACCATCGGGCAGGAGTCTTGGGATTCCTGGGCCATGGTCCCAGCTTTCCTGGCCGAGTGGGTCTCCCTGTCATGCCCCGGTTGCACGCTGCCTCATCGCACTGCTGCCTGGCACTAGGCAGTCACTGTTCTGTACGGCAAAAGCCCCATCACTGTTTTCTGTAGCTGGAGATGGCCAATGGGGCCCCAGGGTTGTGGAGCGGAGCCCCCTACAAAGCCAGGAGCCCAGGAGGCCACACTCCTGCCTCAGCCCTGGGTGGTTCTTGAGAGATTTCAGATGGTGACATATTTAAGCAGCTCATTTTTACAGATGAAGGAACTGAGGCCTGGAGGAGGGTCAGGACTTGCCCAAGTTCCCACAGCAATCGGGAGGAGTAGGGCCAGGCTGTACATTTCTGCATTTCTGCCAAAGAGCCTCTCATCCCTAAAGTCACAACGGCAACAACCAGAGCAGCAGCTACCATGTATTAAACACAAACTATGGGGACCAGCAGTTAGCATAATGGTTATGTTTTTGGACTCCCATGTAGTTGACCGCGGTTCGCATCCCAGACCCGGTGGCTTAAAACTCACGCCAGGCGCGTGTATGTGTGTGCCCAGGATCCCGAGAGGAGAATGGAGGAGAAAGGATTGTGGCGTGGCCATCCCCCTTGGGGGATGATTTCTCGCTTTCTGTCTCTCTGTCTCTCTCTGTCTGTCTGGCGAGCACACGTGCCCTATAGCGAAAACCTCCCCCCCCCAAAAAAAAACCCCACAAACTACGGCAGGATGGTTTTGAGTATTTTGTGTCTGTTACCCCAGTTAACAAGGACACACCCTTCCAGGCAAACTTTAATATTTCCATTTATATGAGGCACAGAGAAGAGAAGTCACATGCCCAAGGTCACACAGCTAGAAAATGGCAGAGCTGGAGAGAAGCCTGGGTGTCTGTCTTCAAGGTGCAGGTCCCTAACCACTGTACTATACTGTTTCCAAGTGGAACAAGCCTGTAGATCCCGCCTTAGCAGGGTTAAACTGCCCAGGAAAGAGACACATGACTCATTGGACCAGGCATGATTTCAAGCACTCTTCAACATTGTCACATGAAATGTTCACATCCGCCCTGTGGGCTAGGCCCTGTTACCCCTGGGTACAGATGAGGAGGCGGACACAGGGAAGTTATTTACCCAGGGTCAGGAGGCTGGAAGAGAGTAGGCCTGGCTCTGAACCACTGCACTACACGGTTCAACATAAAAATTAGGATCCCATTATGATGGCAGAAACCGTGACTGATTGGAAAGCACCCTTCGCCTGCATGTGACACGTGTCATTCCACTAAATGATTTCTGTCCCTGCCCTCTGCGGGTGGCAGAGCAGCTTTCCACATCCTGGCTGACGGAGGAGGCATGTGGGCACAGAGGGCAAGACCTTGAATGCGGGGTCCTCTTCATTCCCTGCCTCTGCTGGGAGGACTGGATTCCTGGAGAGAACACACACACACACACACACACACACACACACACACACACACCACGTTCTCCGGCCAGGTCAGCTACCCTGACTGCACTGTGAGCTCCTAGCCCAACGGCATCTGCCGTCTCTGGAGGCTGAACATTTGGCCCCAGTCTCAAACCCCCTGTGCGGCTGTCAAGCCAGGGCTAGCAGCCTTCCAGGCTCACAGTGAGCGTGTGTCTCGTGCCTGCACCTCTGAGTTCACAGCCCATGCGCAGGGCTGGCCAGTATTTGCTTGTGGCAGAGTGTGCAACCACACAGGTATTGGGGGGTAGGTGGGAAGGAAGGCTTCAAGAGGGCTTTGAGAGAGCGGGGCTTTCAAGAGGGAATGTGTCCTGAGCAGGCTGTGGGGCCAGCTCTGGGGCCGGGCACCTGTGCTGGGGCTCTCTTCTGCCCTGCGCCTCCCTCTTGCCATTGCTACAGTGCATCCTGTCCTCAGCTTCCCTGGCCCAGGCACCCACCACCAACTTCCCTCCGGACCCCCATCTCATGCTTCTCTCTCCCTCTGCCACCCTCCTAATACTCCATTCAGTCCCCTGTCTCACCCCCTGGGATGCCCCATGGTCCTCGCACCCTCAGACCTCCCTTTTGTCTTCCTGTCCCATGGGGCTGGTGTCCCACTGGCCAGCTCCTTTCCTTTGGCGCTTCCTTCTCCCACCCCCTTCCTCTCTCTCTTCCCACAGGGTGCCCCTGGAGATGCTGGGATGTCCATCATCGGTCCCCGAGGCCCCCCTGTAAGTTGTTTTGCTTTTCTCCAGGGGGTGGGGGTGGGGCTGGGCAGAGCGGGTCCTGGCTGTGCCTTTGGGCGGGGTGGCCACCACATGTGAGGCGGTCAGCCAGATCAAGCCACAGCACTGCTGTTGATGTTACAGAACGTGGCCTGACTAAATATACCCAAATTACAGCCTCTCAGAGGCTTCCAAAGGGCCTGCCCTCCGCCACGGCCATGGCAGCTGGGAGGCGGCCCTGCTGTTTATAGGCAGAAGGCAGCTAGGGCCACTCCTCGTGGATGTCAGCTCTCCTGGGAAGGAGCCTTTGTTTCCAGAAGCCAAAGGAGCAGATATCCAGAGTCCAGCTTTGCAGGCCCAGGCACCCACTCCTGGTCTTGGCAGAGGCCTGAACCCTGCTCGCCCTCAAGGGCCACTGTCTGTTCCCAGCACTGGGTCTTCTGTATGAGTTAGTGCCTCTGCCCAGGGGCCAGCAGTGTGGGAGGGCTAGTGAGGCTGCCCCTCAGATATGCTTCCTCAGGGACTGTAAGGGGTGTGGGTAATGAAGCCAGCAAGATATGGTAGCTCTGGGAAGGAGGACCAGTAGTTTTTCCCAGTGCCTAACCATGGGCTCAAATCACCGAATGTCAGGGGAAGGACCCAGCAGCGGCTTACCACAGCCCTCTCAGAAGGGGAAACTGAGGCTCAGAGATGGGAGGGGCTTGACCAGGATCTCAGGCATAGAGGCTGGGGCAGGATTAGAACATAGAGCCCTGGGGACCAGCAGGTGGCATGGTGGTTAAGGCACTAGACACTCCCACATGGCTGATCACGGTTGGAGTCCCGGACCTGGTGACTTGCTTTCTCAATTTCCCTCTCTCTGGCCAAGTTTTTAAAAAACGAATAAATTAAATTAAATTAAATTAAATATAATTCTTAAAAACAAACAAACAAAAACAGAATGTAGAGCCCTGAACTCCAGGCTTCTTCCTGACCTGCCACACAGGAGAGAGCATGGGCCAGCCTCTGGATACGCAGGCTAGCCCAGTGGGTGGAGGAAGCCCAGCCTGCTTTTTCCCCTGCCTTCAACAGAGAGAGACAGTGGGAAGCAGGCGTCTCTCCCACCACAGTCTAGGGAGAGGGGTCACAGAACAAATTGCTTAGCTTTGTCCAAGGGAAGGGCCACCAGAGAGCTGAGGAGAGTGCTGGGAGCTGGGAGGGGTACCATGGGCAACCCGAGGAAGGATGAGCTGTGAACCACGGCTTACCAGGCAGGTCAGGGGCCTGGGCTGGAGGTTGTGGGGCAGTCCTGGCCTGAGCAGACACAGACTTTTCAGCTATGTTTCCTGCTGGGCTCAGGCTCTAGCAAGGTGCTAAAAATGCCCTGAGCCAGCCTTACCCTAAGGCTCTACACGCCTCAGCTCACTTAATCCTCACGAGAACTGCTCACGGTCATTCCATTGTACAGATGAGAAAACCAAGGCACGGAGAGGTCGGGTGGCTTGGTTGGTCTCATACAGCTAGAGTTGGCCACCGGGAGCTGACTGTGGATCCTGGGCCGTGTGTCTCCAGAGCCATGCTCCAAACCCCATGGCTGCCTTGACCCAGCTGGGCTCTGGTGTTACTGTCATGTGTGTGCCTGGGCTTACATGTTGCTTGTGCCCTGGATGGACTTTAAGCCACCTGTGTACAGGGGAACCATAGCACAGATGACCTGACCCGGTTGTCCCTGGTGAAGGTGGCACTGGAAAGGGCATAGAGAAGAAGAAAGTGGCCCAGGTTTGAGTGTCGACAGTGGAGCCTGGGGCAGGCCTATTAGGAAGTAGCAAGTTTCACCCTTTGGCGCCATCTCTGCCTTTCTCCTGGTCTGACTGCAGAGGATCTGTCGTGTGGGTCAGGCATGGTCTTTACCATCCTTTCAGTGAATCGTGTCCACAGGCTCCCTGACAGCCGCAAGGGCAGGATCGAGGCTGGTCTGCCTCCACCCTCCACCCTTCGGGCTTGGGCCCAGCAGACGCGAGCCTAATCACCAACACCCACCACGCTGAGCTGGACTCCAGTGGTGACCAGTGCCTTCCAGTCAGTGACAGGGATAACTGACTCCTGGAGAAGATCACACACGAGGTCTCCTCCTGTACTCCCAACACAGCCACGAGGCAGGCCCCAGCTGAGCTCGTAACTCACCTGTGCTTCCCCAGCCAGGAAGAGCTGGAACTTGGGCTTGGCCTGGGGGCCTCATTCCAAAGCCTCCATTCTCGGCCCAACAGCCCTTTCCATGCTTTAAGCTCTACTGTTTAAAGGGGGTATTTACTTCAGGAAGGAAAATTCTCCCTGTGGGTGCCTTCATTGGTACTAGGAAAGGTTTGACGGCACCAAAAGCTTGGCCAGCCCAGTGTCCTCTGACCTCTGTCAGTGTGGGTGGCCCTCACCCTGCTGAGTCCTAACTTTCTGGTGGAGCAACTCCCTCAGCTCCTCCTGGGAAGCTGTCCTGGGCTGGCAAGGGCAGGGCATGGGCAAGACAAAGGGTGCGTTTGTCATTACAGGGCAGAGGTCAAGTGGGCAAGCCTTTGGCCACACATGGCTTTCCACTCAGCCAGGAAGGGCCCAGAAAAAAACGCTGCTAATAAGAACCAGGCCTGCAGCTCTCAGGGGCCACCTGCCTCCTCTCTTGGAGCTTGATAAATAGGCTGAGCAAAGGGTGGACCCTCAGGGCACTTCAGAAAGATACGGTTCATATTCCCACATGGCAAGATGCCAGAGTGGAGTGTCTGGGTGTGTTGACTTTTAAAGGAACTCCATTAAACTGAGGAAGAGACTGGGACTCCTAGACTCTGGGGGCCTGGCGGGCACTGGGCTGGTCATCTGCTGAGCTAGGAAACAGTCCAGCTCAAAGAGAGTCCACTAGCTCCCTGAGTCCCCTCACTTCTCTTCAGAGGCCAGGAGATGCCTGAACTTTCAGTCCCCCTCCATGAAGAGCCAGCCTACGCCAGGTGGACATAGCCGTCGGGTGTTTCTTCATTGACCCATTCCGTCAGTATCAGTTAGGAACCTAGGTGCAGGCTAGGTGCTGGGTGGGCGTGGCAACCTGCTGGCCCCTGTGGGTGCGTGATCTAGCAGGAAGGACTAGCCGTCACTGAAGCCATTACAGTGCAGGCAGTACATGCTAAATGCGGCAGTCAGGGAGCCATGAGGACACGGAGGATGCAGCAGACTTAGGGTCAGGTAGAGGCAGAGGAAACTTCCAGAAGGAAAGGATCACTAGACAACAATCAAGGGTCTGCAGAGGTTACCAGACAAGTCCTGAGGAGAATGCTAAGCCCTGAGGTAGAAGAGGCACCTGTAAGTTACTGGAGAATGAGGAAAGTTCTGGGATGGGGGGAGCAGGGAGAGTAAGAATGAGGATGGTAAGAGGCCAGGCTGCTGAGGTCTGCAAGGGCCAGGTGGCCAAAGACTGAGGCACAATGTTCAATAGTTAGGAGTTTCCTGAGGGCAGCCCCTGGGTTGCCAAGCTGGCAAGGACATGATCAGAGTAACATCTCAAAACGATGACCTGATCTTCCCTCTCCAACAGAGAGTGTGTACAGAAGCAGCTATAGATGTGGGGCTGGGTGAAGAGCCCTTGGAATATCCAGGCCTAGGCCGGAGCAGAGTCCTCAGGCCTGGGTGGGAGGGGAGGGCTGGTGAGAGATTTGGCAGGTGGATTTAGTGATGATAAATCCCGAGGGGGAAGCAGGAATTCAAGATGACACACATTTCAGACTTGGGATGGTGCTGCCCTTCCGCACATGGAGCAGCAGATTTTGCCAGGGGAGAGGGGTTGATTTTGAGCGTGATGAATTGAGATGTTCTTACAATGTCCAAGGGGAGCTATCTATCTGCTGCTGCAGGATCCGGGCTCAGGGTGTGCTCAGGCTGACTCAGATGTCTCAGAGGGTGTGAGCCATGCATACCTTCTCCCAGCTGAGTTCAGTGATACACATTGGTCACTTGAAATTGGCCATGTGGGGGTATTTACACCATAGGCATTGGCAAATGCTGTACACAACAGAGCTCTCCTCTCCCACCCTCCCTGACCCAGACAATGATTTAACATTTGTCAGCACAGTCTTGCAGGTCACTGCCAACTTGGAGTGTGAGAGGCAAAATAAAGCAGGTGCTGAGCAGATACATGATTCACCCTCTTTCCTGCATCAAATCAGAAGACATCTTAGTAAAATGGCAAATCGGATGTCTTCCATGAAATCAGAAGACATCTTGGTAGGTTCTTTGCAGCCATATTTTTCTGTTTGTCTATGTTGCTTTACCCCACACAAGTTGCAGGTGGTGGAAGAGAGAACTAGATGAAGGGGTCCACTTGGTTCCCTTTGCTCCCTGGCCTCAAATTAAGGGAGACTTCAGAGATCAACACAAAACTTATTTTCTTGTTCTTCTATAAAAAGATGTAATATTAATCCATAAATTAATTTACAAATAGGACTGTTATCTATGAATTCAATGTGGTTCTAATCCCAGTACATTTTTGATGGGATTGGAAGGCCAAGAAAATAACATTGAATTGAGGGCAGCCCCATGGCACGGTGGTTAAGGGGGCTGGATTCCACACGGCTGACTGCACAGTTCAATTCTGCCCCAGTAGCTTGAAAACATGCTGGGCACATGTTCGTGTATACCAAAAATCTCGAAAGGAGAAATAGAGGAGATGGGATTGTGGCGTAACAGCTTCCCACAGAGAGGGTGATTTCTCCTCTCCCTCTCTCCCTATCTCTCTGACAAAAAAAAGAAAATAATAATAATAATATTGAATTTTATTCTTTTTTTTTTTTTTTGGAGAGGTTTTTGCCATAGGGCATGTGCGCTTGCCAGACAGAGAGAGACAGAGAGACAGAAAGCAAGAAATCACCCCCCAGGGGGGATGACCACACCACAATCCCTTTTCCTCCATTCTCCTCTCGGGATCTTGGACACGCACACACATGTGCCCTGCGTGAATTTCAAGCCACCAGATCAGGGACTCGAACCATGGTCGACTACATGGGAGTCCAGTGACATAACCATTATGCTAACTGCTGGTCCCTGAATTTTACTCTTAAAAAAATAAACTCATGATAATGTCAGAAAAATTTGGAAGCTAGAATAGGGAGGCAGGTAATGAGGCACCTAGTTGTCCTACTTGACATCAAAACGTACTAAAAAAAAAAAAAAGAAGCAATCAAAATAAACCAGTGAAGGGACCAGTAGTTGGTGTAATGGCCATGTCACCAGACTCCTATGTAGTTGACCATGGTTCTAGTCCTGGACCTGGTGGCTTAAACTCACTGTGGGGGCGTGTGCATGAGTGCCCAAGATCCCGAGAGGAGAATGGAGGAGAAGGGATTGCGGCGTGGCCATCCCCCCTGTGGGGTGATTTCTCACTTTCTGTCTCTCTGTCTCTCTCTGTCTTTGTGGCGAGCACACACGCCCTATAGCAAAAACTTCTCCAAACAAACAAACAAACAAATAAATAAACAAACCAATGAATAGAACAGAACCAGGAGGCTGAAAATAAAGCCAAAACCGTATGGGAATTTGGTACGTGATAAAGCTTCATTTCACAATAGGAAATGAGTGTTTAGGAAAAGATACTAGCTGAGGCCAACAGGTGGTATGGAGGATAAGGCACTGGATCCCACATGACCATTTCCACAGTTTGAGTCTGGGATCCAGCAGCTTGAAAATCATGCCTGGTGTGTATGTGTGCATGCCCAGAATCCTGAGAGGAGAATGGCTTACCTCGTGGCCATCTCCCATGGGGGTGATTTCCCACTGTCCTTCTCTCTGTCTCTCTCCCCTGAGCACACAGACCCTATGGCAAAAATCTTAAAAAAGAAAGAAAAAGGAAGAAGAAAGAAAGAAAGAAAGAGAAAGAGAGAGAAAAAGAAAGAAGAAAGAAAGAAAGAAAGAGAAAGAAAGAAAGAAAGAAAGAAAGAAAGAAAGAAAGAAAGAAAGAAAAAGAAGAAAGAAAGAAAGAAGGAAGGAAGGAAAGAAAGAAATAAGGAAAGAAAGAGGGAAAGAAAGAAAGAAAGATAGATGCTGAGACAACTAACAAGGCATTTAGAACAAGGTAAAAATGAAAGAAAGTTGTGGGTTTTTTTTTGTTTTTTTTTTGGAGAGGTTTTTGCTATAGGGCGCGTGCGCTCGCCAGACAGACAGAGAGAGACATAGAGACAGAAAGCGAGAAATCACCCCCCAGGGGGGATGGTCACACCGCAATCCCTTCTCCTCCATTCTCCTCTCGGGATCTTGGGCACGGACGCACACGTGCCCGGCGTGAGTTTTTAAGCCACCGGGTCCGGGACACGAACCGCGGTCAACTACGTGGGAGTCCAGCGACATAGCCATTACACTAACTGCTGGTCCCTGGGTTTTTTTTTTCAAGTTGAATCTCTACCTTTTTCGTTACATCAGAATAAATTCCAAATGAACACAGTACTTAGATGTAAAACAAGAAACCATAAAACACAAGAACGAAGCATGAGTGAAAGTTGTATAATTCCAAACTGGGGAAGGCCCTTTTGAAACATGACATAAAACCCAAAAGCTCTAAGAAAAGATGAATAAGTTTGTGGCCATAAATGTAAAATTGCCAGATGCCAGAAAACATCACAGACAACATCAAAGACAAAAATGCCAAACTGGAAAGAATATTTGCAATACATATGACTATCTAAAAGTTGTTGTTCTTGACTAAGAGTTTTACTCAATTCAATAGAAAAGAGACAAACAACTTAGTAGAAAATATTGGTTAAGGGTACAAACAGGCAGATAAAAAGTAAATAGGCCAGCCAGTAAACACGGGAAGAGATGTCTAACTCCACCATGAAGTTAGAACGATAAATTAAAGTCCTCTTCCCAGTCTCCCCCAGTACCCTCTCCAGGCCCATTCTCTCCAGGATGTGGAGTCCTAGTTTCCATTTGGTCAATGACGACATTCTCCCCAAGATCCCTGAAAAAGCCCTGGTCAGCCCCGGGATTCGGTCCTGGATCAGAGCACTGAATCGTGATACCAGGGCAGCCTCTGTAATTAGCGAGCCGTGTGATTATCTCTACCACGTAAACATTATCCAGAGTGAGGCTTGAAGATGTTTCTTGGAATCCTCTCTTCCTGACCTTTTCTTCAGGCCTCTCCGCGTTCAGAGTAGTTTGCAGAAAGTTTACACTGCGAGTTTCAGAGATTACATTGCATGGTTTCCAGGTTTTCTCTTCAGTGCTATTCTTAGCATCGCTTATCCTTGAGAGGAGAGAAGCTGGGGGCCCTTCTGATATTTGAGTGGCATCTCCTTCCTCTTGCCCTTTTGGAGCCTGCCACAGCCCATGGAGCCTGCAGCAGACTCTGCTCACTCCCTGCCGGACCACTGTTCCCATCCGGGCATGGTGGAGTCCCCATCCCACCCAGCCAGAGGGGCTGATTGCTCCCTGAGCAGAGGCCCCTGGCACTCTTGTCCACAACTTGGAGGAGCATCCAGGGAGCCTGGAACTGTGCCAGGGTCCCAGCACATGGATCAGAGAAATCTTCCTCTGGATAGAAACTGATTTTGGAACTTGACAAAGACAAGCTTCCATCCATCCCAAGACATGCTGGGCTCAAAAACAACCTTGCTTTATTCTGGTGCCTCTCTGCTCCGTTCAATGCAACCAACATCTAATGGTGGCAGGTACCATCTCGATAGGCTTTACAGACATAATAGAATGTAATCCAGTGACCCTTTGAGGTCCTACTGTTGTCCCAGTTCTATAGATGAGGAAATTGAGGCTTGGGGAGTTTAGACAACCTGCTCAGAGTCACACAGCCATTGTCGGTGGAGGCAGGACTAAAACTTGGTTGCCAAACTCAAAAGCCTATCCTTGGGAAGATACTGTGACCATCTCAGCCTGGGGAGACCACAAGCTAGAGCCGGAGGGGTATGTCTGGGGGAAGGCAGGTGAGCCAGTGCTGGGCCTAGAGAGGGAAGACAGGCAGGACAGGAGCTAGCATGGTAGATTGGTGTGAAACTGAGACTGGCCTTGAGTGACATGTGAGTCAAAAAGAGCCCTTGCTTGTTCTTGAGAAGCTGAGTGGCAAGACATATTTCCCAGCTCCCCATCACCCTTGACCTCCCAGCCCCAGACCTTTGAGCCACACGCTTCTTTTGTTTGTTTGTTTGTTTCTTTTTTTTTTTTTTGAGAGGATTTTGCTATAGGGTACGTGCGCTCACCAGAAAGACAGAGAGAGACAGACAGAAAGCGAGAAATCACCCCCCAGGGGGCATGGCCACACAGCAATCCCTCTCCTCCATTCTCCTCCATTCTCCTCTTGGGCATGCACGCACATAGCCTTGGCGTGAATTTAAGCCACCAGGTCCGGGACTCGAACCGCGGTCGACTACATGGGAGTCCAGCAACATAGCCATTACACTAACTGCTGGTCCCCCACACGCTTCTTCTGACCTCAGCACCTCTCTTTATCTTGAATCTTTCTCTAAACCACTGGGTTGTGGCAGTGAACCTGCCTCTAGTCTCCAGCCTGAATATCTATCTGCATTGCACTCTGCACCCGGGAAGATGGGCATGGCTTGCTCTGCATCCCACAAAGATTGGGGGTCCAGAGATCACCCATCCATCTGCTAGGAAAAGGCTGCCGGCCAGGGTGCAAGGAGAGTGAGTAACTTGACCTTTTCTAGCCTGGAAACATAAATTCTGAGGGCCACGTTCTGACATCCACTGATATCCAAACCCTCCGAGGCTAAGTGGCCCTGAGCAGTGACTGTGTACATGAGGACGATGTGGGGGGCTTAGTGCAGGCGTCCCGTCAGCGGCGGGCTGATTGCCCACTGTCCTTGCTGTCCTGTCTGTTTACACGCCTCCCATCCACAGCACTCGGGAGCTCTCCAGGGACTACTTCCTAGAAGTGGACCTGAAGGATTTCTGGCCCCCTCTTTTTTCCATTCCCCAATCTTTGTCCCTGAAAGAGGTTTCTTAGGACATTCCGTTTCCTTCCTTCTCCACCCTCACTCCTGGTCGGTGCACCGTGGTGTGCCCCTCGTAGGCGATCACTTGGGAGTGGGAGGGCTGGGTGCCCAGGTGAACCAGGGACTCGGGATTAACCCCGCCTCCTCCCTGCTGCACCTCACTGCTCTGCTTCTCTCCGCAGGGCCAGCCGGGCACTCGAGGCTTTCCTGGCTTTCCGGTAAGTGGGGAGGGCTGAGGTGAGCTGTGTCCAAGGTGGTCTCCAGGCCTGGTTGGGTTGCTTCTGGGGGCAAGAAAGGACAAGGAAATAACCACACCAATGCAGGGGCAGCAGGACAGGAAGCTGCCCGTAGGCTGACCAGCATGACCCTGCAATATGGAACAGATGATGCACCACAGGGAAGTGGCTCAGGACTCAACCTCCGACCTGGCTCCCAGAGATGCACCAGGAGAGGCAGTGGGTGGCCTTCTGTCCTTTGACCTGTGCCCATGGGGCCTAAGACAGGTTTGTGAGGTAGGGTGACTGGAACAGTTAGTCCTCCTTGGGCCTCAAAGCTGGCCAGCTGCTGGCTCTCTGGGAACATATTCCCAGTCTCCACCTGGGGTAAGGAGGAAGTCTTTGCAATCAGTGGGGATCCCACTCATTGGGTTCCCCTCCAGGCCAGCCTGGCATGCAGCATGTCATCCCTTCCTCACAGGGACCCCTCAGGGAATGTTCTATTATTCTCAGACTCACTTTAGGAGGGGAAATTGAGGCTTAAAGTAAGTGGTCAAGCAGGGACTTGAAGCTTAACTTCTTGGCACCGTGAAGCTGTGCTCTCAACACTGCCTTAGCTGCTACCTTGGCGGGGGCTCGTGATGCTCAGTATTTACATCTGGCCTTTCTGCTCTCAGGGTCCCATTGGACTGGATGGCAAGCCGGTAAGTGCACCTCTCAGGCTGGAGCTCCTCCCCTGCACTCAGGCCAGGTCACTACCCTGTGTGTCTTGGTCCTTCTGCAAGATTCTGACTCCTTGGAAGAGACTTTAGATAGAAAGAAAATGCCTAGCCAGAGAAGGGGAAGGGACTGTTTGAGTGAGTCGCCCCAACCCCAGTGAGATTCCCCAGGGCACGAGTGCATGGCTACCCAGCTGTGTTCTCAGAGTTAGAACAAGAGCCATCCCTGGAGTCTGCTGATTCTGGGCTCCTGGACGGGGTCGGGTAGAGGTAACACAGGAGGAGGCAGCGGGAAGAGCAGAGAGGTGGTGAGTTCAGCCTGCTGATCCCCGAGGACCCTGAGCAGATACACAACCTCATCCTTGCCGCCAGCACCACCGAGGCTCCTCCTGTGTCTCGTGTTCTCCCCGGGCCATCCCCGTGCACGTGGAGATGTCTCTCCTGCTATGGCTTCTCTGTTCATGTAATCCTTGGGATTTGATCTCCTGACTACAGTGTTCATGGGGGAGAGGTCTCCTCTCTACTCCTAGAGCTGGAAGCTGGAGGAGAGCCTGACCACCCCCCCACTCAGGGAAGGCCCTGAGTGGAAGGCCCTCACCTCTCCCCACCCCCAAGCAGCTGGCATCTTCTCAGATGAGGGACCAACCCCTACCTGGTCACTGCCCCACTGTATGCCAGCAAGCTAGGTGTGGCACAGGGACCACCATGACCGTGTCCACTCATCTCACAGGGCCAGCTATCCCTGAAGCCACCTTGGGTGTGTGGGCATAGTGAGAGGTGGGTCCGGGGAGGCCACCCCCTCCCCGCCTGTGAAGGGCAGGCAGAGGGTAATAAGGCATGACCGAGGGCGAATGCCCTTGCCTGGGAGGACCTTGCAGCATAAGGCCCAGTGGATGAGAACGGGAAGCAATGTGTAGCTAGAACAGGGTGGGGTTGGGTGACTGGGGGTGGGCGTGTGTGGCTGAGCAGGGCGGGGGCTCTGGGTCTCACACAGTGTGCCCAGCACTCACACACTTCTCCTTCCAGGGCCACCCCGGACCCAAAGGGGAGATGGTAAGACCTCAGCTTTCCTGCCTTCCTGGGTTGGGCTGGGATCAGGCAGAGGGGCCCCGCAGGAACAGCAGAAGTGGTGCCTCCTGGTCCCTCCCTGCATGCCCCGGGTCCTCGCATCAGCTCCGGGAGGAGAGGTGGGTGGGTCTTCTCCACCTGCAACATTAAGAGGGAATCCCGAGAGCCCATACTTGACCACACACAGAGGTCAGGGCTAGCCTCGGGCTCCCAAACTGTACTCCAGGGGCCCAGAGCCCAGCTGGCCACACCCCTCTGGCCGGGGACACTCTCGGAGACAGCCACTGGTTAGCCTGATTCCCCACAGCCCACACAGCCCCTTTCCATTGCTGGGTCCACCCTGAGCGCCCAGGTCCCAGGGCTCCTGCCTACCTGGGAGAAGTAGACCCTCGCCCCTCCTCTCTCCTGGCCCCTCCACCTTCTGCAGCAGGGAGGCAAATAATCACGTGAATGGACAAGGAGGCAAAAGAGAGCTGGCTGGGAGACCAAGGCTTCAGCCTCCGCTCTCCCCAGCTGCCAGGGGCCCCTGAGCAGCCCTGCTCCCCAAGGGCCGCCACTGCGCTCTTGACAGCTCAGCCCATGTTTCCGGAGGGTTTCCTACGTGGTGGGCTCTGGCCAAGTACTTCACATGCATTATCTCGTTTAATCTTCGGCCTAACCCTGTGCTCCAGGTCCTATTAGCGCCCTCTCTGACAGCTGTGGAAGTGGGGACTCAGAGCTGAAGTAACTTGCTGAAGTCACCCAGCTAGGAGTATTCAAAACAAGAACCAAACCCAGTTCTCCAGTTCCTTCCTTCTCCCGCCCCACCTTCCTCCCTTCCACACATTTTTAATGAGTCCCTCAAACATGCTGGTTACCACAGCAGGTGCCCAGGATATAGACAGGAGCAGAGAGACAAGGTCTTACCACCCAGTAGCCTGGCGGGAACACAGACATTGAAACAGTCACGTGATTAGCAAATTGGCAATGAGAGCTAGGAAGAGGCAATTCCTGGTACCGAGAAACTTCGGGCAACAGGAACCTCACCCCAGCTGAGGGTCAGAAACTGCTTTCCTGAGAGAGGCTTTGGGGCTGGAGTTTGAAGAATGAGACTTTAACCAAAAAAATAACAACTAGAAAAGGTGTTGGGAAGGACATGATGGGCATGGGAAGATAGCGTATGCACAGGCCTTGAGGCAGGGAAGCCCTGGAAATGCCCACGGAACTGGAGGAAGGGCAGTGAGGCCCCGGGGGCAGTGGTGGAGGGCTGGCAAAAGAACTTAGGTCCCTGGCGAGCTTTCTCCCATCTCAGCCGCCTCCACTGCAAATGCCTTTCTTGCTGGCTCTGCTCTGTCCCTGTGCTTGCTGGGAATATGCATGAGGCCAGAGAGTCTGCATTGTGGCTTCTGTTCCCTGTAACTTGAAGCAGGAATAAAATCCACGCTCCCATCGCTCCCATCGCTGTGAGGCAAAAGGCTTCGCTGTCAGGAGTTAGGGGTGCCAATCTCCTCAGCTCCCTCCCCCTACCGCTCCTTCCTGGCAGCCTGATGCTACCCTAAGGTGGCCTCTGCCACCTGGGTGTAGTAACAATGGTCACCCACCAGGCACTACTCTGTAATCTTATAACAGCTCATGACTCTAGTCTACAAATGGGGACACTGAGGCACAGGCTGGTTAAGTACACTAACCTGAGACTACACAGCTCCAAATATCAGAACTGAGACCTGGACCCATGTGGGGCGGGGGCGGGATCTCACCCCTCCTCTCTGTTGTAAGTAAAGGAAAAGAACCCCCCATGGGGCTCCTCTTCCTGCCTTCACTCTGCTCACGCCATGTCCCTGCCCCACCCACTTGACCCACCATGAGCCTTCCTGTCTGGTCGGGGGTCAGAGCTAGTCTGGGGAAAGGGCAGGGCCGTCCCATCTCCCAGGAGCCCACGTGATAGGCTCCCTGTCAGCTTCATCATAATCAAGCACAGGGTCTCTGACTACTACTCCCCCGCCGCTGCCTGGTGGGACTCTTGGCTTGCTCGTCATCCCTCCATCTCCTGCTCGGCGCCCTCCCCAGATGGCTTTTCCTCTTCCGAGCGTTGGACACAGGCCATGGGGCCCCTCTCACCTGCTTTACCGATGTCCTCGTCTGCCCAAAGTGAGTCCCCTCTGCCCCAGGCCCTTCACAGTAGCCCCCAAGAAGCGAAAAAGTGTTGAGAAGATGAAGTTGTACAATTGTGCAATTGGGGGGTGGGGGGAGAGGAGCTCGGGGGCACCAAACTCGAGCAATACAAGGGCTAAAAGCAGAACCCGAGCTCTGAATTAAGTCTTACCCCACCACCACAGGGCTGTCCCAAGGGTGGGAGGAGCCAACGTACACCGAGCACCCAGAACCGCGCCTGACACCCCAGGACATGGCAGCGTCTTAGCTGTTGTTGCCCTGATTGTCATGGAGCGCTGAAGGCTGAGTGAGCACATCACCCCTCACTGCCTGTCCCAAAGGGGCAGCCACCACCCCCACCCCCGGGCTAACTGGTGCCATGTGTTATAGGACCTTAAGATATTTACGAGAAACCTGAAATCCAGGTTTTAATTTGCACTCTTTTAAGATATTAAGTGTTGGCAACTGATTGAAAGGAAACTGCAGGACAAACACGCCTCTGGAAACCACAGTTGTCTCTTGGGCCCCCCTAGAAGTGCCAGACTCACTCCTCTGGGGCTGTAGTTCCAAACCTATGTGTCCTTTTTGTCGGCTCCTGCCCCACTACTCTCTGTCCTGAGAGGGTGGACTGGTCACCTGTGCTCCTAGGTCTCCGCCAGATGAACCATGTGCTGCCAGTCACCCTGATAGGCTGGGGGTGCCATACGGGTCAGCCCAAAGGCTGCTTCTGCCCTCCCGATGTGCCTCCTGGAAGTTTTCCAGAATGTGAGTTAGCAAGTCCAGAGCAGGAGGAAGGATCTTCCGCGTCTATATATCCTCCATGGAGGATGGTGGGGCCAACCAGATGGAGCCATCCATGGGGGCCTGAGTTCTTCAGGTCTCCAGGACAGTCACTGGAAGGGACCTCACGGGCCTCCTGTGCTTCTCACTGAGTCCAGAAGCCACATCCTTGAGGTCTGGACCAGTACAGAGTGTGGTGGGGTGGGAACAGTTGGACCTTCATGGTCAGACAAGTTGGGCTCGCCTTCCAGGGCTGCCACGCACTGAGCCAAGGGGCCTTGTCTCTGTCACCTCCCCTAGAAGACGGGGCTGACATGAGCACCTTCCTCATGGGCCAGTGAGAAGCATGAGCTCACGCACGCCTGGGTAGCCTGCCTCATCAGGTTCTCAGCACATAACCACCGTCTTCCCCCTTTCTCCACACCTGCCTGGAGGGCACCGCCTCCACCCAGCCCCACACAGCTGCCACAGCCAGCTAGATGCTGCATCCTCCTGAGGACAAGAGCCTGCCCAACTCCGGCTCCTACTTATCTCTGCGAACTTGACAGGACAACCTTGAAGGAAATCTCAAGACCCTTTATGCTTCTCCGAGGTGTTCAGAGCAAGGCTTAAGTTGCCAACTCCCTGCTTCTTCTCCTTTGCCAAAGATTTCTCCAAAACTCTCAGTGCCTGCAGTGCTGGCTGGGCCACTGATATGAAGGCGGATAGAGGCAGGACGTGCCAGTGACCCCGGGAGGCTCTGTGTGCAGCAGGCGGGTCCCCTCCCCGACACCAGGAGATGGAGATGAGGGGCAGCTAGAGTAGGCCCGTGAGATGGCAGGCTTGGAAGAATGAGTGAAGGCTGGGATCTGCTCCTCGTCATGCCACACGGGGGTCTCAAGGCCCACTGGACCTGCCTGTTGGTGGGTGAAGAGGCTGAGGAGCAGTGCAAGGCCACACCTCGAACATGTCGGGCACAAGGAGACTTGGCCACAACGGCAGAGCCCAGACCTCAGGATTCGTGAACACTCCAAAAAGCCCAACTGCGGTCTCCAGCCAGGCATGCCCCCGACCCGTTCGGCTCTGCCTGGCCCCTGATCTGTGTATGCTTCCCTCCCACAGGGCCTGACGGGTCCACGAGGACAGCCGGTTGGTACCTTGTCTTGCTATCCCCAGAGGGAGGTTTGGGCCTCTGGGCACTTGGCTTCGGTTCCTAATGCTCTCATTTTTGTCTCTTCACAGGGACCTCAAGGACAAAAGGGAGAGAAGGTAAGGGTGAGAAAGGTGTCCTAGCCTCTCCCCTTCAGGCAACAGCTTCCATTCTGTTAGCAAGAGGTACCTAGGGGATCTTTTCAAGCTTTAGTTTTTCTGGACAGAACCAGGAAAGCCCCTGGGGTGCAGCGGAAAGGATGAAGCACAACAGAGCTGCCCTGGGTGTCTCCTCTTGGGGCCAGAGGGCTTCCTCAGCTCCTCCCTCCCACCAGCCCCTCTGACCCTCTGCATGAGTGGATTTTGCTTGTTGATCTGCAAACCACCCTCCGGCCGCCTGCTTTCTATGTCTCCGTGAATGTCAGATGGAGATTGGTCGGCCCTGGGCAGATGGTAGGGGCCCGGTGCTCCTGGCTTCGAGGAGAGGCCACCAAGGCCCTGCCATCCACAGCCTGCTGTGGCATCTGCTGTTCCCATTCAGGCCTCCTATCCAGGGCTGCCGACTGGGCCTTCTCAGAGGCTTGACCTCGAGCCAGGCATGGCAGGTGGTGTATGGTATCCCTAGGTCTACAGGTCGCTTCCAGGCAGGCCTTGGGAGACTCTTTTCTGCTGTCAGACACAGGCAGGGGGGCCCCCTCCAGCCTCAGGGGCTCAGATCAGGACCAGAGCAGCAGGGCTATTGGGTGATGGGACGTGTGGCACGTTGGTAGGTCCTGGGGGTTCCCCGAGGGTTAGGCACTCCCAACAAGTGTCTAACACCCCCTCTTCTTCCTTCCCGTCCTAGGGTCAGTGTGGAGAGTACCCACACCGGGTAAGTGAGTCCCTAACACTAAGCCGGTCACTTGATCCCACTCCTGGGGCATTGCCCCGAGCCCAGCCTCATCTCCCTAGGGTGCCCAGTCCTGACGGAGTGCGGAGAACAGGAGCTCACAGCCCCCCACTGCACTCAGCAGCGGGAGAGGTGGTACAGGGTGGCGGTGCGCAAGGCCGGCGTGGCTGTGCCCTGGACAGTGTGCCTTATGTGCCCGAGAGCTCATGTTTGTCCGGCCCGGGTGTGCCTGGGGGTCTTGGTGCGCCAGCGTCTGTGACTCTGTGTCTTGTTCCCCTGCATCCCGCCCTCTCTGTCCAACCATGTGTCTTGTGTGTTTGACTTCCTCCCCACGCAACATGTGTGTGTGACCGTATGTGTGTGTCTCGTGGCTTGTTTTGGCTGGATGAAAGGAACTTGGACTCAGTCACTGTCTCAGACGCCCCAAATCTCAGCGAGGTGCCTGCATGGACTCTAGGGGAAAGCTCTTCTCTAAACAGGGCAGGGGCTTCCGATCCTTCCCCCCCTACCCCCATCTGCACCTTCCTTGTCCTTACTGTCTCCCAAGACCTGGCGCCCAAAAGACTGCTATTGTCCTGGTAGGAATCCTCATACTTGTGCAGCAACAGCAGGGGTCGTTCTTGGGACACAGGAGGACAAAGGCATGAGCCCAGGGAGCTAGGAGCAGAAATGTAGCCCTGGCTTGGTAGATCAGCCTTGTTGCTCTCAGTCCTGGGCGGGAGGGACCGGGAGGACGGTATCTTTAGGTATCCACCGTATGTCGTAAGCCTCACTATGCACCGTAATATACCATTTGGCTCCTCTGGCTACCATGCCTGCCAGGCAGGACCTGGTGGTGGGACTTACGGGTGGACAGAGACACAAATCAGGCTTGGAGTGGACCTGATCGTGGCAGGCCACTGGGAGGACGTTGTGAACAGGACTGAGCCTGTGCACAGCCACCCGCCTGGCTGGAAGGCATGTCAGACGGAGTCTTGCATTCCTAGGCCCAAGGAGAGGCTAAGTGAGCAACTGGGGCTAGGTTCAAGGCCAAGGCTGGGCAGGGCCTGGGGTGGACACTGGGCTGGCAGCAGGGCAGAGCCAGCCTGTCAGAGGTGTGTGTCCCAGGGCTGCGGGGCCTGGTGCTCCAGCCAGCCTGGTCCTGGTCCAATAATAGAAAGTCAGCTGTGTCTGTTGGAAGTGACAGGCTCACAGGGTGTTTCGACGGCATCTCCAGCACAGCCACCAGCACTTTGGCAGTGTGTCGTCATCCCGAGTGAAGGCTTGCAGTGGGAGGCGAGCGCTTAGCACCATATCAGAGGGCAGAGGCAGTCACAGAAGGCTCCAGAAGCACCCTGGCCCAAGGTGTACGGAAGCAAATGGGTGTGGGGACCCAGCTGAGAGGCAGCGCGGGCACAGAGGAGAGGAGTAGGAGAGCGAGGCTCCTAGTGGTCTGTTGGCTTCCCAAGGGGTCTGCAGGCATGGTGGGGCAACAGGCATCCAGGCCCAGAAGCACCAAGAGGTCCAGGCTGGTCCCCTGCCCCTGTTCCAGCATACGGCTTCCCCCAGGAGGGGGAGAAAGGAGAGCAGAGAGTGGGCAGGATGGAGTCCCTGGGATGGGAGCCGGGCGCTGGTGTCTGTGGGCTCCCCATCATGCTCCCCGTGACCCTGTCTCTGCCGTCTTCATTTCCCCTCCCCAAACCAGGAGTACCTAAGTGGTACACTAGCAGCTCTGCGTTCCAACCAGATAATTACCCTGAAGGTTTGTAGGATCTGGAAGGTCTTGGGCTCCCCTCCGCTGAGAGGCTTCCTGAACACAGAGCCCAACATTGCACGTCCCCAGGCCCAGCCAGCAGGAGGGAGTGAGGCTTTGTGTGTGGCATCTGCCCACAAAGGTGGCAGTAGTGACCTGGAAAGGCCTTGGTCAGGCTTTCGAGTCCCCAGCTGGGCACGTTCACAACCAGGCAGCCCCTGGTTCCTAGCATTCATCCCAGGGGCCTTGTCTGAGTCACAGCGCGCTCAAAACCAAGTGCTTGGTTCTATGCCACCTTTGTTTCCCTGTGGGTTCTAACCACTTCCCAAAGCCATTGGGTCCCTCGGCTTTGAAGGGTGGAGGGATCAGAAGCGACAAGAACTTCCAGAAATGAAGATCACAGTAGATAACGTGATTGCAAGTCGCCTTCCCCAAACAGTGGTGGGCATCTGTGCCCAGCCCCACTTTTCTAAGCGCCCCACCGCAGGGCGAGCCCTCGGTAGCACTCAGCCTGTGCCCGCACTGGCCACACCCTCAACCAGCTCGGCTCCCGGGAGCCGGGTCGGCACTGCCCTGACCACACTTTCCAGATTCGCTGACACTGGCCTTCCTCATTCAGCCAAAAAAAGAACCCACAGGGCGCCGAAACCAGACCAGCTTCAAGTACCAATTTAGCCGGTCCCGTGGCTCCCTAAGCCGGAGCCTCTGCCGCCCTCAGCCCAGCAGCCTTGGTCCCCCGGGTGGCACAGGCAGGGCCTGTGGTGCAATGTTGGGCCACCTGTCGGGCAGCCTCGCAGCTCAGCATGGCCAGGGAGGGTAGACCAGCCGATGAGGGCCACTCTCCCAGCCAGGGAGCTGCTGGCCAGCACCCCACGCTCTGACCTGGAAGGGCAGGCACGGCGTGCACTGAAGGCCATTCCTCTGCTCTCAGGGGCTGCATCCCAGGAGCTGAGAGAGTGCCCGTCCACCTTCCCTCCAGGGCCTCACGCTCATGCTAATCTCTTTTCTCTCTTCCTCCCCTCCCATCTTCTTGGCCGCCCTGCCTTTCTGGCGACTTTGGCACCACTCTGAATACCTGCGATCTTTGCCCTCTGGCCTTCCAACTCATCTTTCTCTTCAGCTGCTGCCTCTCCTCAATTCAGTGCGACTGGCTCCACCCCCAGTCATAAAAAGGCGGACCTTCCAGGTAGACACCTTCCTTCCCCAGACCACGCGGGGTTCCCTGAGGGCTTGGCAAGTCGTGGGGCCCTGACGGGCCAGATGGGGCTGTAGATGAAACCAGAACCTCATTCTAATTTCATCACATTAAATTAGACAAAAACAGATCCATGAATACCATAGGCGTGGGGAGACACAACACACAGGCCCCAGGAGACCTCCAACTACGACTACACCATCACTACTCAGCTCAGCCACCCCAGCCGCTGTCACTGACGTCAGGCACCACGTTATCTAGTTTACGTGTCATCCCAATTTTATCGAAAGCTCCCAACAGTTGCACGAAGCAGGTGTGACCGTCCTTATTTCACAGATGAGCAAACGGAGGCTCAGAGGTTCAGTCCACACAACTAGTAAGTGGCAGAGCAGGGATTTGCACCCAGGCCCTTCACCTGCTACCAGCTGTGTGATCTGGGGTGTTACTTGACTTCTCTGTGCCTTGGCTTTTACAAGTAATAACTGTGGCTATTTCCTAGGGTTATGGTGTGCTAAAGCACTCGGCACGATTCCCGGTGCTTTCAAGTGCTGTAAGGGGTGACAGCTGTCATTATTCTTATCCGTATTCTGGACAACAAAACTGGGCTCAGAGAACTAAATGGATCTTCCCAAGGCCGCACTAACAGCAAGAGGCAAAATGGGAACTGGTAGCCGGTCTTCAGGGCTCTCTCACTTGGATGTACATCCTTTATCCGTAGAAACGCAGGCCGCCTCGCACCTGGTCACTTGTAACCTGGGTGTGAGGCAAGTCTGCAGAGGGTGCAATGCACAGGCAGCAGGTGTGAGCATCCGTGATCTGCTGCTTTCTTCGCTCTGCCTCACTAGCCCATGAGCTGGATTGGAGCAGATCGGAAAGAACAAAGCAGTCTTGCCCCTGCTCTCCAAAAGACCACAGGCTGGGTTCCAGGCCCAGCGGCCTGTGGCTGCCCCCTCCACTTGCCCCACCCCATGCCTCTTGCCCTCCTTGTACTGCACAGGGTGGGGACAGGCACAAGGTGTTGGAGTGGCAGGGTCCTGAGCTTCTCTCTGAAAGCCTGGCAGCAGGACGTTGTGGCACCATCCACCTGACCTGGCTGTTCAGGCACCTGGTTGTACAAGGCTGAAAAATCATTCCAATTCATACTAATAATACTGGGGCGTGTGTTGTGCGTGCCACCCGAGCCTACAGGCTGCATATTGCATTACTCCAGCCAAATCCTCAAGAACCTCCATTTGATCCAAGTGCGTACTCAATGCAGGCTACTCAGGCCTACTGGCAGCTCAAAGACACACCAGGCCCACCCCACTGGCACCCACTCCTGCTGTGCCTGAGTCCATTCCTGGAGAGCTGAGCCCATGCTCTGGGAGGCCGTTCTCCTGGACATCCAAAACCACCCCATGGCCTTATTTGTATTAGCTGCTTGCCAGGTTCCAGGCCCTGTGTGGGAATCCTGCAGATTATCTCGGGTGATCCCCACACCAGCATCATCATCCTCATCCCCACTTTGCAGAGGAAGAAATTGAGAGGAGTCCAGGATTCCATTCCAGCCAATGCATGTTACTGCCTCCCTTCTTGAGAGCAAGGGATAGGGAAGCCAGAACTTTCTGTGCTTCCCTGACTTGGTTCCCAAAATAGAGAAAGAATAACACAGGTCTCTAGTCTGCTTGCTGCAGATTCCGCCTGTTGGCCATCATGGTCCATAAAAAGGCTCGCCCACTTCCTATCAATACGCCGATATTCATTTTACAGGCTCTGCAAGATGCTTAAACGTTGTGTCGAAGATTAATTTATAGAGGAAACTTTATATGAGATATGATGTGTTTAGCAGACATGTTCGGAGTCATTTGCAAAGTGCAGAAAGTTGGATGGCGAGCCCTTTTCCTGGGGCTTTTTTGGGATGAATAGGAACAGAGTCTGGAGTTCTGAGTTTGGGTCCTGGTTGTACCCTGAAATCTCCATGTGATGTTAGTCGGGAAACTCAACTTCTCTGAGCCGTAGTTTTCTCTTCTGTAAAATGGAAGACATTGGGAAAATTCTAGAATGTCACAGTCAGAAAGGACTTCAGAAGGTTGTTTTGGATCAAGCCTCCCTTGCCTGGTGAATTATCCTAGTCTTCACAGGGCCAAGTCTGTGGCCTTATGGTTGAGGAAGCCAGATCCCACGTGACCAAACAAGCAATTCAAATCCAGGCCTCTGTAGTTTGAAAAACACACCAGGAGCATGGACAGGTATGCCCAAAATTCTGACAGTAGAGAGAGATGGAGGAGAAGGGATTATAGTGTGACCACATCCCACCGAGAGGTGCTTCCTCCTCTCCATCTTTCTTTGTCTCTCTGTCTCTCGGGAGAGAGCACACAAGAGATTCTGACTGAGCAGTGTAGATGGAGGGACCTGGGTGTCTTCTCCATGGACGAGTCCATTCCTCATGAAATGGACACCCATTTGTGCACTGCCTGTTCTTCCTGAGCTGGTCACCCCATCTTGGTCCTGGGTTCTCCTTGGGTGCCTCGCCTTCCCAGGGGTAGAGTCCCCTGGAGGGTGGACACGCCACCTGGAGAAGTAAAAACAAAACAAAATACCCTCCACTGTAGAAATGCTGTAAAGGGTATTAAGCAGCACACACATGCAAAGGATGCTCAGAGGCCTCAAGGGCCTTCCTCAGAGTTAGTCTGATTGAAAGGAGGCCCCACTAATCCCTCCTGAAGCCTTTCTTGGTTCAGGAGAGAGATACTGCTACTTGGAGACTTGCCAGTAACCAACATGCAACTGGATGCGGGTGCTGGAGGCAGGAAAACCCCAAAACAATTTCCGTACCCGCCTCCTCTTTCATGAACACCCTGAGCCCTAAAGCAGCCTCTCAGGGAGTGTGGCAGGACGAGGCCCAGGCCCCAGAGTGACACGGCTGGATGCCATCTGCCCTAGGATGTCCCAGCTGAGAAACAGTGTATGCAGGTGTTGCTAGAAGCTTACATTTCTCATTCTCAGGTTGTGCACACTCATTTACAATAATCATTCCCACTAGAGAGCAAACACGAGTAGCTCCTCTTCACATAGGGAGGCAGGAGACCCAGAGTGTTGCAGGGGCTGCCTGAGATCACCCTGAGAAGGGAGGGCTGGCCTGGAGCGCCTGCTGCCTGCATCCCCCTGCACCAACCCGGAGCACACACACCTGCCAGGCTGTTCCACCTTACCCCATCCTCAGAGATGGGCTCTCCTCCCAAGAGCTGAGCCCAGGTCGCCCCTAAGAAGTCATATAGAAAACAGTATGATGGCATTGGTCCAGACCTAGGATGGCTCTGGCTGCCCCCAAGAGCCAGGTTGCAGCAGGCTCTCTCCTGAGGGAACACAGTGCCACTCCTCCCCGCTAGGCTCACAGTCCATCCAGAGATGGTTACAGTGAGTTACAAAGGCCAGCTCAGAGCATCTGACTGAGCAGTTGGGGCGGGTGAGACACACAGGCATAAGCACTTGCAGCTGCAAAACTTTCAACCGAGCCGAAGGCTGCAAACTCTGAGGCCAGGCAGAGCCCAGAGGTGACCCAGCAGACTTCCTGCAAGAAAGATACCTGGGGTGGGGACCACGCCAACTGCAGCTCGGGCCCTACCTACAGGGGTGACCACTCCTCAGAACCAGGAAGTATGCCCGGCATTACCAGATGCCAACAATCGCCCCCAGAATTTTTTAACATAAAATATCTTGCTTGAGTGTTCAGAGTCAGAACATTCTGTGGCCACTGACCTAAGGATCTCTTTTGATCCTCTGGGCCAGATCATCAAAGATAGCAAAGAGCTCTAACAGGGAACAGAAGCAGTTGTTCCCATTCTGCGACTGACAGGCTGGGGCTTAGAGAGATGACTGACCACACAGACAGAGGGTGACAGAGACAGGCCCAGGCCTCAGGCCACCTGGGCTGGACTCTGGCCATCTGGCCGGACTGGAGCAGGTCTCACATGGGCAGGGATCACAGCTCCCTTGTTCTTCTCCCTGGGGGCAGCTGCTCTGCACAGCAGGCTCTCTCTGGAAGCCCCACCTCTTGGGGACCTAATATCTTGGCTGTCTCCTCACTGCCACCAGCTCCTGCATGCAGTCACCACCACCACAGCATCATTACCAACACGCCACCATCTCCTCCACATCATCACTGCCCCCTTCCCAGCAGAGCCCATAGCAGGGCCCTCACCGGGTGCATGGCACTGGGGTAGGGACTGGTCTGTGGCTCTGCGGTCTCCTCTCTAACACCTATTTCCACGAACTTCAGGGTGAACAGGGCCAGGCTGGCATCCAAGGTCCACCAGGGCCACCAGGCCCCCCTGGGCCAAGCGGACCTCTGGGACATCCAGGACTGCCAGGACTGATGGGGCCACCCGTAAGTATCCCTTCTCTTTCTCCTTCAAGATTGGTCCCAGGAATTCTTGGGAAACCTCCACACTCTGAAACCTGGGTCCTCACCAAATGGCAGAAACTCCCTGGCAAGGCCACTGGACACAAGTGGCCCATGCAAGGAGCTACCTATCCCTGTCACTCTCAGCTGTTGCACTCTGGCCCTAAGACCAGCCTGTTGGGCTGTGACAAGTCACTGCATTCCAGGGAGGAAGTATGAAGGCTGCCCCTCCCCAGCCTCGGCAGACAAGAGCTTGGAGAGGAAATTGTCCGGGTCACCTTTGTTGGCTGTCCCTGACCCGGCTTAGGAAGCCCCGAGTTGGGGCCGGTGGGTTGGGAAGGAGGCAGCAAGGGGGCATGCAACCCCTGGCATACTACCGAGCGTACCTTCAGGCCGTGTGCATGTTCCCATCACTGGGCCCCTCAGCAGCCAAGCAGGAGGCCAGGTTGGCCAGAGGACCTCTTGGAGCCTAAATACAGGCAGGGACACTGGCACTCCCCAGGCAGGACCACTTCCAGGGACAGGTCAAACCCGATGGCCACAGTGTCACCTATTTTCAAGCTTCGGTCAAACCCTACTCGTTCTCAGCCAATTTAGCACAAGGTCCCAGGATGGGAGAATAACTCGGTGGGTACTTGGACGTCTTTGGAGAAAACCGGTCCCCGTCCACAGATAAGACCAACCTGTTACTGGAGGAACAAGGGTAAGGGCAGAGTCTGCTTTTTCTCCCCATGTGGTGAGAAAAACAATCCTACTCTTCTTTCTTATGACAAAAGCATCATACATTCATTGTGAGAAACTCGGAACGTTTTAAATGGTGTTTTCCTGCACTCAGAGTTCACCCTCAACATCTGTGAGAGTCCTTCCTTCTCCTCAGATACCCCTGCACACCGCATTCTCCAGGTCGGCAACGCCAAGTAAGGGGACATCCTGAGGGGTTCACTAGTTGTCATAAAGCGTGCCCTTTGCTACATCAGGACGGTTCTCCACGAATGTCGGTTTCAGGGCCGCCAGGCCTATTTCTAACACACTGAATGAGCCCCCTCTGTGAACCACATCCTTGAACATCAGTGTCTGCACAGCTCTGCTACGACAGACTCCCAGGGCTGGAATGGCTGAGTTGGGGTGTCCCTGACGAATAGCCTCAATGCCTATGGCCACATTTGAGATCGTTTGGCTTCACATCTGAGCCCCTCGGCTGCCCAGCTGCCAGTCTTGCAGCTCTTCACGGAAGGGTCCCTCTGGACTGGGCGGCAGCTCGGGTCACCCAGGACACCAGTTTGCCTGAGTAGGCCAGCACAGCAGCGCGAGGCTGACTTTCTGGGAGCTGGCTCTCTGGCCCAGCTTAATACTCTCAATGGATTATAAATATTCCCGTAACTTCTCCCCTGAACCCCCGAGAGGAATATTACTTTTGCTTCCATTGGTTTATAGATGGGAAAATGAAAAACCTGAAAGGAAGTGAAATTTAGGAAACTAAACCAAACCAAGCCAAGAAAACTAAAAAATGCTCACACTTCACTTCTTTGCTCACCACTGCCCTCTCCCCTCCCCCTCCCCCAACACACACAAAACACCCCCACACTAGGCTCTCACCCACTGAACCCAAGCCAGGTGGTTTTCTTTGTTAAGTTGTTTATGAAGAAAAAACCCAGAAAACGTGTTTTTTAAACCAGTGGGAACAGACCAGACCCAGGCATCGTGGTTTTCTCTAGGCCACATTTGCTGTCCAGCCCTGGGCCCAAGACCGCAGTGGAGCCAGCCTTCACTGGCCTCTCCCTGGGGTGCCCACAGGCCCATACCACCTCATAGCAGCAGCGAGCTGCCATGGTCACAGAGCTCTGGGAGGAGACAGAAGGCTCCTCCGCAGACAGGCGAGGGCACCAGCACGGCCCTGCTGGGCAAGGTTGGCTTCCTAGAGAAAGGTCCTAATTAGGAGGTGGGTGGGTGGGGCTCTGGACCAAACCACACTGTCTATTTAACATGATGCCACTGACCTACTTTTCAGTGGGCGAGCTTAGCAGGGTTGTCCACGGTGCCCACATGGCTCCAAAGAGGGACAAAAGCCTGTTGTCCTTACGTGCCCTGAGCAGGTTTCTGACGCCCCCTAGGCCCTTCTAGCACTGTCTGTAGCCTGCCCGTGCTCACTTTATAGCTGTTCAGGGGCACTCTGCCTCCCCATCCCCGTCCCCACTGTACATGGCTGGCCTCAGCCATTTCCCAGTGGAAATATCCTCACTCACCTTTTTCTTTCTTCCACAGGGCTTACCTGGGCCTCCTGGGCCAAAGGTAAGTGCTTTTCTGGGTGATTCAACAGAGGGAAGAGGGAGGCAGCCCTGAAGGCTGCTGAGGGAAGAGCAAAGATGGACCAAGTGTAATTTGTTTCCAGAACACCACCATCCTCTTAGGAACTAATTTGCTTCCAACAAGAATTGCCCTTCTCCTGTGCTTAGGCCAACTGAGCAAGTGCTATGGCTGGCGGGGAACCACAGACCTGCCCTCAAAGGAGCTGAGAGTCTAGCCGGAGGCTCAAGGCTGATACCTGAGACCCTGTCACGATATCCCAATAAAAGTGTTCTGTAAGGTGCCGGGACTAGAGCCAACCCCGGGGTTGCTCAGTCTCTCAGGAACCCTTGCCCAGCAACCCGCAATGTCAAACAGGCTCTCCCTTTGCAGCGGGGGACCTTGGGGCTCTTGACGCAAGAAGGCGCCCAGCACCAATCCTGCCTACCTCTTTAATAAATGTGGGAGCTAGAGTCCTGGGGAACAGTGACTTTTCCAGGGATGACAGAAAGTCTGTTGGCACAACTCAGCTGAAACTCAGGTCTCCTGGGCCCCTACAAGTTGGCCTTTCCCACCATTCCTCAGCCTCTGCAAAGTGGGGCTTGTTCTGAAGAGTAGAACAGTCTATTGGCTTCAGGGGAAGCCGAAAGCTGTTGATGTAGGAATGGCTAGAGGTGGGTGTCAAAGGGACAGGAGGATTTGGAGTCTCTGGGAAGAAGAGGGAAGGTGTTACGAGGGAAACAGCACGAGTGAAAGTTCAGCATGGAGAGAGCTGCTTTAATGGCCTTCTCTGTGTCCCCTAGGGAGACCCAGGGATCCAGGGCTACCATGGCCGGAAGGTAAGAAGGAGGGGGAAGGGAGGGGGAGGGTCCTGCCTCCCCTAATGGAAACCCAAGTGGAGCCTCTCTACCATGTGCCCAGGGCCAGGGCTTGACCACGCACAGTGCACGTTTGCACACACACCATCCAGCCATGCTCACAATGCTTATGAGGTTGGCTGAACAAGCTCAGCATTACCAGTTGGTGGGGGAGGAGGAAGAAAAGAGGAGGTAGGGCCTAGAGAAAGTCAGTGGCCCTGCAAACTGCAGACCCAGGAGGGGTCAACTTGGCCAACCTGGTGACCATGTCTATATTAAGGGCAGACCAGCTTCTCACTGGCCCCTACGGGCCTAAGAAGTAGGGGCCAGATTACTGGGGCCCAACCATGCAGAACTTCATGCTGAGCATGGTGAGAACATGCAAAAGACCCATGGACCAGAGAGACAGAAGAGTTCCTGCACAGAGAACCTTGGTGAAAGCAGTCTGTGTTAGATACTGCTATCGTAAAGTGCTGTGTGAATACAGGGGTGGAGAGATGAACTCCAGCTGAGGAGGGGTTTGAGAAGTGTTCTCAGAGAATACAGCCCATGAGCTCAACCATGACGAGTGGGTGGATGTATCAGTCAGTTATCGATTGCCATGTAACAAACCATCCCAAACTTAGTGACTTAAATGCTGGTTTATTTCTCATGATTCGTGGCTTGGTCATCTGGAAGTTTTCCTGGTCTCACCTGGGCTTAATCGCATAGTCACATCAGATGGTAGATGGAGGGGCCAGAGGTGCCAAGATGGCCCCATTCATAAGTCTGGTGGTTGATGAGAGCTGTGGCCTCTGTTTTCCTCTGTTCTCTCACCCTCCAGTAGGCTAGACAAGTTTCCTTACTACATGAAAGGCCTCAAGAAACATTTAAAATGGTCAAGTCCCAGTGCATAAGCGCTTTTCAGGCATCTGCATGCATTATATTTTCTAATGTCCTATTGATCAAAGCAAATCACATGATCAAGTCCCCACTTCATGATCAGAGAAATAGCAAAGCATTTGTGGCCATTTCAAATCTACCACTATGGTCCTTCAGCCAATAAATGTAAAGAAAAATGGTGTTTTAGATGAGGAAACAATTTGCACAAGGATCCAGAAGTGGTCATTATACTGAGGTTTTTGCTATAGGGTGCATGCGCTTGCCAGAGAGAAACAGAGAGACAGAAAGCAAGAACTCACCCCAGGGTGGATGGCCATGCTGCAACCCCTTTTCCATTCTCTGCTCAGGGTTTTGGGCATGTATGCACATGTGCTCAGCGTGAATTTCAAGCCACCTGGTCCAGGACACAAACCGTGGTCAGCTATGTGGGAGTCTAGCTGTAACTATTATACCATCTGCCGGTCCCTACAATAACTATATTAACATTATAATCATTCTAGTAATAGCCACTACTTACTGAATACCTACTACGTTTCAGGCATTGTCTTTTAACATGACTTGCATTGTTCCTAATTCTGAAACCACCCTGTGGGGCTGTTATGTTTATTCTCCTCTTCAACAAATGAGGAAGCTGAGGCTTGTCCAAAGTCTCACAGCTCGTAAGTGGCAGAGCTGGAATTCCATTCCAGGTCTGGGTCCTTCCCATGATACCACCTGCTGCAAGAAGCCCATCCCTGCTCTCCAGGGAAGCTTCTGGAATCATCCAGGAGGAGAAACGGGGCAGGAAGAGGGGGTCGGAGGGAGGAATTCTGGAAAGGAAACCATCGCTCCAGAGAAGCACATTCCCTGTTCACTGCAATCAGGCGGCTGCCGTCACCACAAGGTTTTATGGGTGTTTGGTGGATGAAATGGCAAGACCTGAGAGATCTTTAATTAGTTCTGCATAAACTGCGAAGTTCGTATTGTGTCAGGAAGTGGAAATTATAGCCCCCACGGTTGCCTCCATCCACTCCCGCAGACTCACAGAATTTACTGCCTCCCAGTGCAGCGCAGGGGCGGTTTTCCCATTAGCAGCTGGACCAGTGCTTTCAAGCTGTGTGAAGGGGCTGTGGGGCTGGCAGAGCAAAGGTCCCCAGGGGTCATGGCGATGCCCGTGGCTAGCATCATAGCATGACAGGCATCAGCATCTGCTGCAAACTGGAAGTTTGGTTCATCCAGAAAGGGGTTTGGGGGCTCTCGTCCTCAGAGTAGAGAAGCCTCAGCCTTGGCTTAGGGCTGGAGTGTCATGACGCTAGAGGGCCTCTGGCTGCGTTGAGTTTGCAGGGAAAACGAGTGTAGCCCTGCTGACAGAGGGGCAGCTTGTGGGCCCCAGGAAGCCAGAGGTTTGCTCTGGGGAGAGAAGTTTTGCTCAGGGCAGTGCTGCTCTGTGGTGGGAAGGGAGCATATCTTTTTTGCATGACTCAGAGTAGAGCAAGTGCAGATGGGTAAATCCTACAGAAAGAGCGATTCCAGCTCAATAAAAGAGCACCTCCTAATAGCCAGGTGCCTCAGGAGGGAGGGCCTCTGCTCCCCCAAGGTGTACAAGTGGAGGCTGGGTGACCTCTGCTCTAGATGTGTTAGGAGAAGCACCCATATCAGATGGGAGACCAGATTAAAATCCCTTCTAACTCAAGGAAGTCATGGCTTCCTGGCAACAGCATTGGCTCCATATCCCTGGGGAGGAGCAGCCTTCATCTTTGTGAGGAGTCTTGGTCTCCTCAAGTCTTTGTGTGCATGTGTGTGTTTTTAAGTTTATTTCTCCCTTTCATGAGAGACAGAGAAAAGCACTCCCACAGGGTCTCACACCACCATACCCCCAGCACCCCCTCCCCTAGCCAGGACCATGGGCCCTGAGCATTCACCCAGCAGGCAGGGGTCTACCTTGATCTCCCACATGACCTTCGGCATGGCAGCACATTGAGCCATTGGGGCTGGGCCTGTCCCAGTTCGTTTCCATCCACGTCCAGGCCTTGTCCTTGGTTTCTCAGGAGGAACCAAGGACAAGGCCCTCCCCCCATGCTCTACTCTCACCTGCCCCCTCCCTTGCCTCCTCTGTCCCCCCCCACCCCACTGCTCCTCCACAACTGCCTCTTCTGTGAAGAAACTAGAGGGGCTCCCCCTCCCCTCTTCCCCTCTGGGTTTCCAGAAGGTTCCTGCTGCTCCCACTTCTCCCACTTCTCCCTGCCTGTCCTTGAGTCTTCTCAACTCATGCCACTGGAGCCACCAGCCTCACACAGCCAGTGGGTCCATAGGTGGTCTCAGCACCCTCTTCTCTGTGCTGGCCTTACTGTGAGACCCTGTCCTGTCACCAACTCACCAACCCTCTTAGTCCACCAGAGGCCAGAGGGCATGTACTGGGACTGATGACCAGCAGCAGAGTGTCCACCCCCAAGCACCAGGGGTCACTCCTTAGAAGGCTAAAGTGTCTGTCCCGTTGCTCCAGCCCCAGTTAACAGTGGATGGACCTCCTGGCCCCAGGAACCACCTTGCCCAGGCAGAAGTGTGCCCCCCCCACCCCGCCAAAATACCAAAATAAAGACTTTTTGGCTTTGGTGCCCACAGACAAGTGAAGCAGTACCAGCTTCCTCCAGTCCCTGGCTTGTCTGTCCTCACCACAGCCCACTGGTTAGAGTTCATTATCCTGCCTGTACAGATGCATAGCTCAGAGAGGTTAATACGTGGCCCCAGGTTACATAGCTGGTGAGTGATCATGCTGGGATGAGAAGCCAGGTCTCATGAGATCGAGCCCAGCTGCCAGCCTGTGTTAATCCATCCTCCCGGTGGTTTCAGTGGGAGGTGGGGCAGTATTCCTTCCCCCACCTCCACTTTTGCCGATCAGTCCTCTTGCGTTCTTTCCCCTCCCTCTCCACTCTGTTTGGAATAAGGCACACCGAGGCACTAAGGTGCCTAAGCTTGGTCACAGAGGCTGGGAAGAGGCATCTGTTCCACCCGACCAGCATGGAGAGGAGCAGGCACAGCAGGTAGACATGGGCTGAGAGAGAGGCCGTGAGACTGCCCTTGGTGGTCAGCATGCAAGGACCCGTGGGATAACCAGCCAATGGACGCTCCACTTGCTCCGTCCCAGAGACGAGACTCGGCTCGCACACAGGGAGGCCTCTGCTAGCATGGGCTGGAATTTCACTCAGTGAAGACTTCGTCCAGCCTGGGAAGTTTGCTAATCATTAGTTCCATCTACCACCACCGCCCCCACCAGCTGGCCTAGGCCTGGCGTCCTCCCAGGGGCCAGCCAGGCCAGCAAGGCAGGCTTTCTACCAGCTCCGGGAGATCAAAACCCCGCGGGGCCAGCGGCCCCCACCCCATTGGGGCCAGCCCTCCTGCCTAGACACTGCGAGGATTGCTGTGCACCCATGTGGTACCTATTGGATCTAAATTTATGACACCCATCTCCTGTGAATATGTGGTACGACACAAAGCGTGTTTAATATATTACGACCTTGGCTCTCCTTCGAGCGGACTGATAAGTATGGTCAGACCGTATGGGATCCCAGAACTTGGTGAGAGCTTATCTCTACCTGCATCAGAGCTGCTACGCCTGTCTAGCAGCGGGGGGGTGCGTTTGACACCCTGATGGTATGGCCTTAAACCTCAGGGTTTGCCTGAAGGACCGTGGCTGAGGTGCGCATTGCCCCCTGCAGGCCGTGGGCTGTGCGGCTTTTAGACCAGAGGAGGATGCAGGATCCTCATGCTAGTCACTTACAGCTGCAGTTCCTCCTCCTAGAAGCCTGGGGGCTCCCCAGAAACAAGGACGGCCAGGGGAGAAGACCGATGTGCCCTACCTAGGGTCAGATGACCAGGGAGCTGGAGTGAGGGCGTGAGGAGCAGCACTGATCCTCTGGCCACACTGGCCCTTCTCCTGATCCTGCATCCTGTTGCTAAAGGCCACAAGGTTCCCATCTGCAGCCCCGGTGAGGGCCCATGGGGTGGACACAGGTCTGCAGGATGACTGCCAGTATTTTCTAACATATAATGCTGAGCCTCTTCGGCATGTCGGCTGTGCCAGTCCCTTTGTACATATCGTCTCACGGAAGCCTGTAACCACC